TTTTTTTTTCGGGGGGGGGGGGCGGGAGATAGCATTCACTCAACCTTTGAAAATCAAAGGCGAGTCGTTTTAAGCGTGAAATTTCCGTTCGCTAAGGAGAAAGTTGCCATTACTCCTGTCAATTTATCAAAACAAACTTACATTCCAGCCTCCGTCTTTAGCATCCATATCACAGTAGACCTCAAGGCTGCCAGAGTATTGCGACGAGTAAATGGTGTACACACCACTCGTGGTGATACCAATATTAAACAAGGAAAGACAATCTGAAAAGAAAAGATGTCTGGAATGAACATTGTGCTGTGAATTGATGTAGAGGCCTATGGTCGGTTAACGATATAACAGACAAGAAATAATAATATAACTCATTTAGGGGAGTGTGGGGCAAGTGGGTCATCGGGGCAACTGGCCCACTCTTAGACCAAATTAAATTAAAAGATTAAAATACTGACCACATGCGTTTAAACAACTATATTTATTTTTTTCAGAGATTAAGCCGAACATAAATTGAGGCCGTAATGAAAAATATAAATAAATGCCCAAACCAACCAACTCCATACTTAGCTTAACATCCCCAAAACCAGAAGTCACCTAACTGGAGGAAAGGTATAGGAATTTTCTACTTAATATTTAAAATTGAACTCTGGTGCTTCTGAGATAATTACAATTGCCAATTTCAGTGTTTTTATTACTAATTCCAACATTCATTTTGTACTCTTTTGGTGGCAAATTTTAAGGTTTTAAGGATATGGTCCACTTGCCCCAGGTGTGGGGCTAGTGGTCCACTTTTGCATGAAATTTTAGGGAGTTAATATTCATAGCCTAAGTTTTATTAATGTAATTGATTTCAGCTGTTTGCAAAAAGCAAACAAGTGTTTTGGTCATGTTTTGAGGGTAGTTTTACCCTTTTCCTGGATTATTGAATATGGTTAGAATCAAGAATGTGCTTAAGTGGTCCAGTAGCCCCACCTTCTGCTATAGCTCTGAATTTAAAGGCCATTTTTAACATAAAAATAAAAGCAAATATTATCAATGGTCCTGAACCCTAAAAGATGCTTTTTATTATCTACAGTCGGGGAAATTCCGTCTGTAGCGATACCATTTCTCCAATAACTGCTTGCCTTGAAACATGACGTACTAATTAAGGTATCCGTTTAACCCAACAGCATGGCATTATAATTATTGTTCGCGAGCGTATAGGTCTTACACGCTAAAGAGGTAGAAAAAAGTGTTAACTTTTCCACTGGCTAAGATCAGTGAGAAAGTTACATTAGTATATACCTCTTTTGGAAAAATTGAGGTTTTGTGTCAGCACTTTGTCTAGTTTACTACATCGGTTTAAAATGACTGTAAGAAAACTCATGAAGGCTCGGCAAGGGAAGGAAACGAGATGCGTTGCGAAGATATCTGAGTCAATACTTCGGAGGAGGTCCTCCCCATCAACAGTTACGCATGGACGTCGCAATAGAGATGGGGGCGAGGTGGCGCTCTCCTCCACCCCGCGGAAAAAATGAAAAGAACTAAAAACAGAAGAAAACCGTATACAAATCACCAATAATCTTAAATACTTTGTAATTGACCATCTTCCACCGTTATTGATTTGTCAATTTGTTGCTAATGAGAATCTCCATAAAAGAAGTCCTGGTTGCGCCCTTGAAGTCACAGCTAAAGAAATTTTCAGATTCAATTCATTTTTTTTAATTGTTAGTGTTGTAAGAATAAAAATGTATGGCACTGAGACATAAATTTGATTACTGCTGTTGCGATATTTCAAAGCCCATATGACTTACCGTACGGGTGGAAGCGACGCAGCTTCATTTCACTACTCCGAACAACTGCAAAGCTCTCTCCTTCAGGCCATCTAATACCAAAGTAATTCCCATCGGTTGAATTCTCAGGAAGGAAATATTCGCCGTTCAGATTGCCCCAAGAATCCTGCGGAGACTCACACTGGTCAAACCACCAACCTCCTCTCGTCAGAGCAGCACAGTTGAGATGGTCCTCACCGTCGTTGTCTTTATCGTAGGTGGAGAATGGTCGTGGTGTCTGGCTTAATGGTAAGGGTGATCTGCCTATACAGAAAAACGCAAGAGTTCTTCTTGTGGTCAGTAGATCCAAAATCGTTGTCGTCATTAGCGCCAAGTATCGAACCGTTAAAATTCTTTAGGTTTAAACCCTGTGAAAAATCTGCTTCAAAAATAAATAAAATAACACTTGAAGTTTGTGTGCACGATATAGGTAGGTGTCGGGAAGTTCTGTATTATTATGTCATATGACTTGTCGTGAATACACTTCCACAAAAATTCACCCAAAATAATATGGCAAAGTTTGGTTGACCCTTGGGCCACAAAACAACGTGCTAGTATGCATTCTGGTGTCATTGTTGCCTAAAAGGGAAATCTTATTGTGAATAACCATACCTATTGATCCCTCCAAGAGGGTGTAGTTGTCGCCCTCAATACGGAATGGCCATCGGTAACTTATAAAATTCGCCCCATTGATCTGATCGTCAAATGTCAGATTAATCTGTAGTAACCATTTATGCTTCGATGTTAACTGACGAAGTTTCTCGTTTCCTAACCAGAACTCGCCCGTCAGATTGCCGAATCCGTCCATGTACTGTGACCAATTGTGAGTGAAATTCACTGACCCGTCAAGCCGCCTCTGAAATACCTAAGACCACAGAATTTGCTTTGTTTATGTTGAGGAATTATTCTCCTTAATCAAACATATTATACATATGTAAAAGATTAAAATTCTACTTAATTGGTTCTCTTTTTTTTTGTCTAGTTTTGTGGTAACATATTGTCTCACATATTTAGCAAATTTCATATCTTTTAGCATCTTGATGAAAGTTTAGACCAAGTTTATCTAAGAATTAAGGTTTAACCCTGTCTACCCCTCCTTTCCTTCCTGGTATCGACCGTTTATCCTGCGCAAGATCCTGCACGGGCGGAATTAAGTCACTTTTTTATTTTCTTCTTCCTTTCGTACAGTTAGAATATTGTCTGCTCTGTTGTATTTTCCACAGATTTATTCCGTTTATTGTGCTTAACAGGAAAGGAGAAGCAGGCAAATCTTTTTAAAAAAGTTCTCAAGCCAATGCAATGACTTTTCTCTTCGAATTCGCGAAGACAGACTCACAATCCAGCCGTATGGGTATCCAGGCTTCATATCACAGTAGACCTCCAGGCCGTCAGGGTACATCGACGGGTAGATGGTGTATACACCGCTCTGGCGGATACCATGAGAATGCAAGGCAGCACAATCTGAAAACAAGAAAACTTCAGGATTGGAAAATGCGCCATCGTTTGTTCCTAAATCTGTGTCAGGAATGACTCTATTCAAAGTAACAAGAAATAAATCTATGAACAAGAACTATATAGATTTTGGACAAAGGTTTATGAACGGCGGCCATGTTTGGGTCAAAACTACATGTTGTCGCATCCTACTTCCACTGCAATTATACCGTTATATCCTTCCATCACAAATACCACTGTTGTTAACTATATTTAAGCCAACTACATGGTGGGTAATTTGCCTTATATTCGGCCAGGTAGTCTCGTGAGACAAACACTTGAACGTTCAACATCCCGGAGTTAATTTTGGGCCATGAATAAGCTAGAGCAACAAAGGTAGGAGTAAACACTTTTTAAAATTAGCTGAAGACTTACCCAAAGGCTTGTTATCGCAATTATTACCCTCAAATCCGGGTGCACATTGACAAAGGAAAGACTCGCCATATTGTGAGCATGTTCCTCCGTTTTGACAAGGGTTTGGACTGCAAGGATCTTGACAACACAAATAGAAAGCAGGGTTAACAGAGGAATCAATTAACTAATGTTCTGGGGAGTGGCGGACAGAGACGAGTAAAGATGCGAATTCAAAGCCTCCTGAAACACTGGGAAACTCTGTGCAGACTCAAGTTAGACAGTTTACGCTTTCCAAGCGGTTGAGAGCCTATCAGGTCGATGGTTTATAAAATGTGAGATTAAACTACCATTTTTGTTAATTTCATATGAAAAAATGGTCTCGTAAACACCCTTTGACAAGACATGTATTTATGATGGGAAGTTCATTGTTGAGCTGTTTTAGTTTAAAATTGGCGCCGACAATGGACCTCGCAATGTACCGTCTGTTTCAAACGCCTAGGCCTACAAGTTTAAAACCGATCCAACACATCTTAATTCCCTCATTAGAACCTAGAACAAATAGGATTCGGGTATACATGCACAAACCATGACATTCAAAGAAGTGATGAATCTCCTCTTGGTCGCTGGTAAAGATTGGAGTATCAGTGTAGAACGGTTCCTGTGATCTCTGGAGCGGCTTGGTGTACAAGGGACCCGGCCAGATGCTGGTACACCGACAGTGATCGCTCTTACTCCCAGGCAAGACCCAGCGAAGACGACCATTCTGGCGTCGGTCGGGTTCTTGGCTAAAGTAGCACACCTTCTCAGCCCGAACCACACCCAAGAGGGCCACTTGCGCAAAGAAAGCAAACAGTAGGCTATGCTTGAAATCCCACACAGGAAATGTGATTTTCCTGAACTGACTGGGTTCAGTCAACCTCGGTGAAAAGAGGCAGCTACATTGGACAATGCCTTGGTACACTACCAACCTGTGGGTAGGCCTTCCTCGCGTTCAGGGGACAATTACTGACTCCAGTAAAGTCGAAACTGCGGAAGTGGTCGGGAAGAGTTACTATCTCGCCGCAGCGAGTTACTACCGGTATTTTGCTCTGGTGAGATCGGAAATTTTTTTTTCAAGGGGCCCTTATACGCTTCCGTACGTACGAAACTGCGTTATGGGGACAAAAAATTGACTTAGCGGCATTCTCTACTGTAATGTAAATACGACGAATATGCCACTTTCAAGCAAAACTCGGGCTACGCGCTTAATTGCACCCGTATGAAATACCTAATGATTATTCTGACCCCCCAAGTCAGGGTACCGACAAGATTTTTTTTACCATACTGTTACCTTTACATCCTGCTGCTTGTAATGAATTAAATTTTTCGCTCATTTCGTTTCTCGTTGAGTACGCCATAATCATTGGGTCATTTTATAAATTAGAGTCCATTTTTTTTCGTGTCCCTGTCACATCTAAACCATATGCTTTTGTTAGTTCAAAACCTATTCTCAAATTTTCAAGACTGACGAAATAATGCAAATTACCTGCCAAGAAAATATAAACAGTTTGAGATCAATTTCGGAGATATTTCCATATCAAATTATGCAGGTCAGGTGTAACAGGGACGCAAAAATGTCACACTTTTGAACCCCGAATTTATAGAATGACCCCACTTCATCCGCGGTGGTACAGAAATTCTTTCAAATTTAGGACACCGCACCAGAAACGTTTTGGCTTGACTTTACATTATAATGATGATGGTTTGTCATTGCGCAAATTTAGCTGAATTGGTATTCTTGCTTCAAAGAAAAGAGCTGCCGGGTTACCATGGCAATGTTGTGGATGGTCATTAAGACCGTTAGCGACGGAATGGGAAAATAATCCAGAACTCGGGAAACAAACTAGCGTTTTTGACACATTGTGATCCTCACGAATTGTAACCCAAACCATAAAAAAATATAAATTACAAAACAGACATCAAACTAACCATGAAAAAATTAATTAACTACCCCAGAGTAGAGTAGCCATCTTTCCAAGGAGGCCCATTTTTAATGCTCTTAGTCATTTCTTGGATGAAAGAGGATGGTGTCACCACCCAGGCCCATTCCGAAACACAATTCATCACAATCTTACTATGGGTGTAAATCCTGAGGGGTGGGGATACATATATCCCCCACTTTTTGAGGTGGCTATTGAATTATCCCCTTCCCCCACTTTAATGACAAAATTTAAGCGGGTTATGAAGAACTTTTAGGATTTCCCAACGACTACAATTTTGGCAAAATCGCTAAAAAGGAAAACAACTTTATAAACCCATAAATCTTCCATTCTCATATAAGATTCTGCATGAATTATTTTGATACACATTACAGATGTACAACCTTATCATGAACACCGCCCCCTATAAAGTATAGGCCTACATAGTTTAGCCCCCCTCCTATTTTTCAAATTTCCATGGCCAGGCAAGGCATCTCCGGGAGCCCCACCTTTCCCAATCCCCACCCCTCATCTCCCCCACCTTTCCCCATCCCCACACCTCTTCCAATTTCCAGCTCAGATTTACGCCACCGAGTCTTACTAAAGACGAACACAAGACAAGGAAACCTCACAAAAGACCACTCAACTTTTTTCAACGTCACAAGAGCAGATGCTATGAAGTTTAGTATTCTAAAAACAGCCATAGAACTCTAGTAGATGTAAAGAATTTTTGCAAGTTCAAGCGTTTTAACTTATGCAATGCAGCTTGCAACGACTCAAGCGACCCCCCCACCAAAAAATGAACTATACCACATGGTACATAAAATATTGCTCAGTTCTTGCAAAAAAATGGATTGCAGTTCTTTGTTAATTAATGACTATTCGCCAATTGTCCTGCACATTCATGCCATAAAATATTCAGGATCTGAAAGGCCAATTCGGCTGGTGACACTTAATTAACATAGGCTTAATTATAGGACATAATTTTTAACAACTGCAGTCGACTGATGTTTAAGACAGTAAATACAATATCATCAGTTTCTACGTTCTGAAGAATGGATTTTTGTTTGCATTTTTTCCTTTTTGTTCGTGTATCTCTGCCTCTAGAGTGGCTGGGGGGGGTTGTTAGACAAAATACCGCAGTTCTCTTACACAACAGTTGGTAACACCAGTGAAAACAGTTTAATTTGGAAACAAGTAAAGGCACAAGCTCAGGAAATTTTCAAACCTTTTGCTTAATTTGAGCCGAATTGATTACAATTGAGTAAAACAAGGACAGAATTAAGGCAGTAAAAGAAAAAGAAAACTTCCAAACCAAAAGCCAAAATTTAGGAATCGTGTTCCTTATTTGTGATCGGTAGGCTTATTGCCTCAGAACTTACGGATGTGACGGATAACAGCCACATTTGGGTTAAAGTTTACGATAATTGTCAGATCACTATTCATTAATTAACATCAGGTTCTTAATCACTTCGAATCTCCCAGACATTTTTGGGCCAATCCTCTACATGTTCGGACTGGCTTGTGAAACTGAAAGGAGAAATAAAGAGCGCCTCAAGTTCTTTTGGACTTCCAGACACTTGCCGTAAACGATTAGGTTGGCAGTTACATACAAACAGACCCAATAGCGGTTATAATCTAAGGTGCTTCATGAGTGCCATCCACTTACTTGTATATACTTCGACAATATGTTATGTCCACATATAGCGGAGAGTAAGGCGACTTCTAACCAAACAAATCTCTCCAAATCGACTTCCAAAATTATCTCGTCAAGTCTGCTTAGTGAAGTCTAAATGACGACTTATGCTGCTGTATTTTCTCGTGAAGTCGATTTCCGAAGTGGTACGGACTCGTGCATATTCTTGTCTTGCCCCGTCCAGTTAACGAAGTCGACTTGTCTTGCCAAGTCTACGACTTGAGTACTGTTATCCACATCTGCTATGCTCAAGTCTTCTTAAAGTCTGGATGACGACTTGCCGATATGCATTATTTGGCAAAGTCGACTTCCTGCAGTCGACATAGAACAACTTGCCTACATCTATTATCTCGTCAAGTCTACTCAACAAAGCCTGATAATAATTCTACGTTCTCTTGCCCGGCTGACGCTGTAAAGTGATGGCGCCTCGTCCTTATTCACTGGTAAATGGCCTTCGTCACATTGGCAAGTTATTTCTCAGTTAGTCGTCATTTTAACTTTTTTCGTTTTGTCAAAGTCGACATGGCAAGATAGGCAGTCCCTCGGACTTCACTAAGCAGACTTGGCGATATATTAACCTTAGTTTAGTACACAAGTAAAGATATACGCTTTACAACGTCGCAGGGGTGACATACCGACTTCTGTCCCTATTAAGGTTCCTCGCGGGCCACTGTACATATTTGCCCATCCATTACAACTCAAAGGTCCAACCCCGGGGGGAGGGAACGAAGTGACATGTGTCATTAGCCAAGGTCCCTTAGTTCGCCCAAGAGCCTCTTTTCCGGCAAGAGGTAAACATGTGTGTCGGATTTGATCAAAGAATTATTGGTTAATCCAGTCCGAAAGCCCTATAGGCGAAATCCAAAATCATACCCAAAACTGTCAAAAAGTACTAGATCCGATCTGATTCAGAGATAATCCGATCTTATATGTGCTATAAAGTTTAGATTTTGTTAGTCAACAACATTATTAATAAATTAACAGAGTGTCACTGTGAAAGACCTGAGACGTAATCATCTTTGCGCTGGAAGGGTAAAATTGTCAACGAAGTTGAGGTCGTAAATTGAGATGTCATAAGATATAATTTGTGGGTGTGAAATTTCAGTTTCTTAGACGAACTAAAATACCAGTGACACCTTGCACATAAGGTCATAAAATCGCCTATAGCCTGCAATGTTAATTATGGGCTCATGTAAATGTAACAGAACTAAACAGGATTAGGAGTATCAACTAAAGATACCGGTTATGCCTTGCCGAGCTCCTTGGCCCCAGGGTTGTTAAATATTATCAATACGTACAAGGTTTCATGTCAGATGGAAGGAGTTTGGGTTATAGTGCGTTGATAAAAAAGACGCTGCCATTCAGTGTTGTTAACTTGAGTCGCTGAGTAAGACTCGAGCCATAAACAAGCACTAAAAGAGGAACTAAACTATATTACACAAGGAACTTGCGAAAGAAAGTAAAAAAAGAGCCCAACAGTCGGTGATTGCCTGTTCAAAGATCTAAACAGATTTGGTACAAGCAAATGTACACTGCCGAATCAACGTCTCGTGCTTATCGAAGTTAGGTTGCCACAATTGCGACGCATTTGCGAAAATAAATTGAAAATTTGATTATTGTGTGGAAATGTGTGTGTTGGAACAATGTTTATCACCTGACGATGGGTAAACATTACATTAAGGCTGCTAATATCGTGACACAATGTGGACAATTAGTGAATTAACGTCGGATAATACAGTCCACGTTTGTACACTGATTCAACGTCACCGGCTTAACGTTGATTGAAAGCATCGAATTGAGGTTGTTGAAAGTGCGACACAATATCGACAAGAAATTCAAAATTGCCTATAATGTGGAAAAAAGTTAATTTGAAATAACGTTAACAACATTATGTTGGATGAGATTAAATTGTAGTTATCGTCTAGACACGATTTTAACGTTGTCAGCTTAATGTTGAGTAAAAAAAATTAGGTTGTTAAAATTGCGACTTTATTTCAACAATTAATCAACACTGGGTAATTGTGGAAATACAGAAGTTGAAACAACGTTTGCGACTTGAAGTTGGTTAATCCTTAAATTTAGGTTGTTAATATCGCCACACAATTTCTACGATAATTCAACAATGAATAAAATGTACATTGATAAAGGGTTGGCTCACCAACGTTGGGTGAATGTTTATTTTAGGTCACTAATATCCCAACCAATTTTAACCATATACTTCCGTTTAACAAAAGTCTTACTGCGACGTCAAGATTACGTTACAAATGTGACGTTGAGATCACGTTGTAGGTTCCACCAGACTTCAACGTTGAAATTACGTTGTGTACTTAGTGGGAACCTTCATTCCCTCTCCTTGCCCATAGACCAAATTTAGCCTCATCCCTCATTAAGTTATATAGATTTTATAGAGAAATTGTGAATTCTTAACCCCTTCCCCTTTCAAATAACTGTGGTCTCCGGAGAATGGTTCTGGATCCGTTGGTACTTGACCACTGAAATCACAGCTATAATTGCCGGAAAATTAGGGGAAGGGGTGAAACCAGTGGCCTATCCAGCCGGGGGGAACTTGCCCCCTAACGGATTTTTTTCCGCACAGAATACTTAATCTTCATAGGTTAGAAAGTAATCAGTATATTTTATTATCAATTATTAGCACTAACATCCTAGGAAAACAACACCGAAAACTCAAGAATGTTGGGAGCAAGGCTTTTGATATGTTTTCTCCCCGACATCATATTTAAAGAGCCGGAAGACGCAATCGCTTTTGAATCCCCTACGCCAAAAGCTGGATATGCCGCTGGGTGAAACAAATTTCGACTCACCCAGGGAGACAGCAACGAGTGACCACCGGGCTAGAGGCCGCATCCTGATGAGCGCTGACTCCTGCAGTTACTGCGAACAACTTTTGGTTAATATAAGTCCTGAGTTGCTTTCTTTCCAGAATATCCAACAGTTCGTTCTCGTATCACCATGCAGGATGGACGTTGCTCTGTGTTCGTCACAGTACAATGTCGTACTGCGTTCTGATGAGTTATACCCAAAGCTCACACTGTATATCATTTCTTTTCAAATTTAATGACTATGACGCTGTGTTCAGGCCATGACACAAAATATATTTAATCATGAGCGCTTTAATGTGGAATAAACAGAGCCCCAAGTGCGTGGGTGGATTTTTTTATCACCGAAGGCAGGGATGCACTTACGGAGAGATCAAATTTATCCTCTTTTGTCCGTAATACAGCAGGGATCTGCGGCCTAGGTCACACCCTTTTCTTTAATATATTATCCATTTCAGTGAAAACTATCAACATTGCCGGTAATATAAACACACTAAAATGGCATGTGGAGTGAACAATATCAGTAGAAAGAACATTATGAGCAGGGATAATGATACTAAGCGCGTACAGACATTCCGTGATATGCGCTATATAAGAACAGACTATTGTTATTATTAATAAATTAAAAGAAAATCAGACAGTTCAAAGATTATAGAAAAGAAAAGAAATCTGTCAACATTGAGTATAATGTCCGCGCTTTTTAAATTTCCACGGCCGGGCTCAACATCCCTCAACAATCCCCTATCCTCAGTAGTTCCCAGCACGTATTCGCACAACTGCAAATACGCCTCCTGTATGTATGAAGGGGCTTTTCGGGAAACTTTTAGGTTTGGTTATACACTGTCTTTGAGGCCCCTCTTCAGGAGGGGCTTAAAGTGTCAGTGCTCTGAGGTGGGATGGGGTAGGCTGGAGATGCTAGAGCAGTGACAGATTTATCCATGACAATCAATCTTTTGAGGTGAAACTAGAAATATCATGTACTTAACGGTTTTTATTGTGAATGCTGCCAACCGGTAACACTCAAACCAGCATGAAAGACAATTTAAAATCGTCTAACTTCACGAAGTTCAAAAAATACAAGACAATAGCTCAACTTTGGTTTATAGAGCTAACTGTTCCAATATTCGGCGCACACTCTAACCTCTGTTCCCAAACTTAAACTTTGAGTTACATGTATTTTACATATTTTATTTACAGAGGGCCAGATTTATATTCAAAAGGTGACCCGTCAAAACTGTGCTAGTAACAAGTACACTTCGAAGATAAAACTAGAACATGAAGTCAGAGAAAATTAAAAATTATGTCAAACTTCTTTGCAACAAGATAAAAATGCTGTTTTACGTGAAGTGGAACCAGATGAGGCATATCAGTGCTACCAAAAATACAAACTTTTCGTCGAAGGCCTTTCCATCTTCCAATAAATTTGACAGGTGTATTACTTCACGTAAAGAACTTATCATACAATCTATTTTGACATGGAAAGTAATGCCAGGAGGATTAATCTCTGTAAATCATTTTTACTGTAGATCTCATGTATTCTCTGGACATGTGAGGGCAGCATTCATTAGAATGAAAACACTCCCTCTTTAGTTAAAAAGTCAATAAAATGGTTGATGTAAACAGAACAGCACCATCTAGGGGCACCACCTTAGCTGAATGTCCCAACTAATGACTCCTACCAAGTAACGGAAACTGGACTGTCCGGTTCCTTGACTCTGAATAACCTGTCAGTACTGGAGGACTTGGTGAAAGCATACGTATTACATCATGGCTACATTTACTGTTAGACAAGCACATTATGTAGAAATACACTTACAACTTGCCTATCCTAACCCAAATAAAAATTTATCACCAGCTTTTACAGCCCAGTTACTGTGCACCTGCTTTCTTGAAGCACAATAAAGTGTCATTGGTTAAATTCAAAGTCTTAGATGTTACAGCATCTGGGAAGTTTTCTACAAACCCAATAATGAATGCAACGAAAATACTTTTTCTTGTTGCATAATGTGAACTGTATCCAGGATCCTTTGCAAGAGCTGAAAAGGGCTGGAATTATCATCATGAGGAAAGTTTTGAAGCAAACGAGGTGGAAGTACATGTACATTCTAGATCAGACAGAAGGTTTAAAAAGGATAGATATGATTATGTTACATGTAATTTGACAATATCTCAGTGTCTCTGGCTGTCCTCGAATCTGAAGATTTCCAAAGTCCACCGTCTTGCTCGGATCCTGGTCACGCTTCCACCCTATTCCTGAACCTGGTGAAAGCTGACAGCTGTCACCAACATCTCCAGGCTGATGGTTCTGTTTATCTATGCTTTGGTCGGCACCACGGGCTGGGTCACGATAGAAGTGCCCGGTTTGGGTTGGCCGGCCTTCTGCCTCATGTGCTCTGCCATGCCCGGAAGACGAGAGAAGTAATTCCGTGCCAAGGTGTGCTTGGTATTGACCTTGTGGCAGAAAACTCGACCGTAGCCCTGCATGAAAAAAAGACAAAAGGTACAAGCAACTCCAAAAACGTGATTGGAATAATGAATTTGACTAATTGTGTACTTGTCAGTTGCCACAGAGTGAATACTTCTTGAAGTCTTTGACCAGTATTCAAGAGTCACATCATCATCAAAAAACACCTTGGTGCACGACATCGGACTGAATGACTAATGCAGACTCCTGGCAGACTTCAGTCTATGACTGTACCTAACTTCCACATCAATTTCACAATACCGATTCAATAAAGTAATGAATGCATCAATCTACGCCCCCCCCATTGACTTCAGTCCCTCCCTCCACCGTGATTTGATTAACCTCAGTGCCTACCTTCTCCAATTCCTCAATCTGTACATGCGTGGTGGCTTCATCCTTGGTGAGAAGGATGCAGTTCCATGGCGACCACTCCTCATCCTTGTCCCAACGCACCAGCACCAGGTCGTACAGGTCGTTCCAGGCACTGAGCGCGCTCTGTGAGCTCCAGATGTTCTCCACCAGGTATCTCAGGTCACCCTCCTGGGGAGGATCAAACCAGACTCAATGTAGGTGAAATCTTGGAAGGATGTTAGGATACTTTTCAAACTGTTTTTTTTTTCCCATAGAAGTCAAGAGCGCATTCACTGTATTCTGACAGCAGTGCTGCCTAAAAAAATAGTACTGCCAAACTGCCAATGATTTTTTATTTGCCAGAGGGTAACCTAACATGTGATGCAGTCTGGTATCTTAAACTTCAGAAGTCTGACAAAAATATAAACTGAAAGTACATGTATTACCTGACAAACTACAAATTTTTCAAGCAAAAAGCTCTTGAAGAATTTGTTTAAAACAAAGTGTCTGTGAGAACAGCAATTCCAACGAACCCTTTTCAGATGGTACACAGATTCGTTTTCCTACCTGCATGAGGAAAGCGATGCGCGAGCCATCCTGCATGGCCTCCTCCGACTTGCGCAGCGCCCTGAGCAGGTAGCGGTAGTGGCTGTAATCCTGGCGGGCCCGGGCGTCGTTGTCCAGCTTCTGGCAGCGCCGGCAGCGACCCACCATGCGGGAGTTGGAGGCCAGCTGGAACTCGGTGGACGGCAGGTAGCTGTTGCAGCTAGGGCAGAAGTAGATGTTCTTGCGGAGGCTGGACGGATCCTGGGGGACCTGCAGTGGAAAAAGAGAGACAGGTGAAATAAGACTTGGACAGAATCAAGATTAGCTCGTTAGAGGTCTATAGGGAAAAGCATACTTTTTGCCTAGTCAACAAGACATATTCGTTGACAGTGAAGTACTTCTGACAGTGACGGGTATAAAAAAGAGATAATGAAAAATTAGGAAGTCATTAAAAATGCAACATGACTCCTGGGCTTACATTTCTTTCGAAACTTTCAGTCCAAAAAATCACAGATGTCTAAAATCACGACTTCCTGAAATACAAGACAGGTCCTGTGTTCTGCCTCAGAAAGACTTTGAAATTTTTTCTTTCCTCAAACAGAGGCTGAGGGCAACTTAGCATTTAATGTTTTTAACATCAAGTGACAAGGGGCACATCATACCAAAAAAAAAAGTTTCCACAAGCAGCCCGTTTCCTCAATACCAGAACTTATTTGTCAGTCATCAAAGACACAAAGGAGTGAAGTAAAGAATTATTACTTGCTAGATCTGATTTTTCTCCAGAGAGCTTTATTGAAATACACAACTGCAAGTGGTCCGGATATTAATAAGATTTTGTTTGTCACAAGACTCTAAAGCTCTGAGGTTGGGCACGACTTACTTTGAGCAGCCTGGCAGCTTCTGCATTGAACGTGGGCGTCTTGATGTACTGTAGGAAGAGGGTGGCGATCCGTTTACGCAGACCTTCAAGATTACTCTCCTTGACTCCTCGCATCAAGAGGTCAGCCTCCCGATCAATCAACTCTATGATCTCCTGGGTCAGTTTGCAGTCATGCTCCTGCATAAACAGTTACAAAAGTGGCAAGAGTAAAAGATGAATGCACAATTTTGCTCCTATGACACTCTTTCTTTGGGGGGGTTTATGTCTTTAGTTGTGTTCGTTTGAAAATTGCAGCAGTGAGCTGTGTTCAACCAAAGGAGTTGAGACACTTTCTGGAATATTCAGATGTCATGAGTTGGACGAGCACAGATGACGGTTAAATATAGCATCTTTGAATGTCTGGAGGATGCTGTGCTCTTCACAATATGCTCTGATATGAAGACTCGATTTAAGAGGTATTGTGACTCGTTAAAACACGTTTTTTTCAGCTGTGTTTACCTTCACGGTGTGTTTGAGCGTCAGTAGAACATCTAGTCTTTCATCTTGCGTCAAGTACTTCATGTTGAGACTCTTGTAGATATCACGTAGTTCGCGTGCCCTAATGGTGTAGGCTGTGTCCATCTCTGTGAACTTGCCGTCAGCTGAACGCCACTTCTTGGGTGCTGCCGCCTGTCAGAATTCAATTTCATTAATGGCCATTAACTTCAATTGTGGACCTATTTGTCATCCTACCATGCATACTTCTCTGGGTCATTCCATGAGGTTGGAGCACAATTTGTGACGGTGCCCTAGTTACATGGGTAACTTGTACCACTTGTCAGGACCTGTAGAATAGGTCAGTTGCTCTGTAAAAGCATGGAGGAAGGAACACACATATCTCTGTATTCAGCCTTGCAAGATGTATAATTTGGAATCCACATGCAGGGAAGTAGCTGTTCATTTTTACGGAACCGATGTAACAAAGGACATTGTCACAAAGTGTGCCCCAACCTCATGGAATGACCCCTCTCCAAAGAGCTCCAATAGGATTTGCATACCACTTTCCTGCTGCAGACGCTCTTGTTAGCATTATTCAAAGTCTATGACTCATTGTAAATACACAGGCTTAAGTACACTTTGTTTTATAGCATAGCAACATCCAGTCTTTGCATACCAAGTATGAATTTGAAAAAAGAAGCAGTCTTGAAGCAGTGTATAGGCATCCTTGATGTAAACATGAGTTTTTGGCATTAATAGTTGGAGGGTTTACCTTATCCAGGAAGTTTTGTATGGCCTGCTGTTTGTTCACGGTGTCAGCTTCCAGCTTGTGTCTACCGATAGATGCAATCAGCTGTGTCTCTTGATCCAACAGGTGGCAGAGCGCGGCCTTGCGCTTGGCTCCTGTGAGGGTGGCGTTGATCTGATCCAGCTCCTCTTTACGCCATTCTGGTAGATACAGAAGAAAGGAGTTAGCAAATCTCAAAACACTGATGACCAAGCAAAACGTCACTGCCATTGCGGGACGCACTACTAGTTGGCAACAAGTTGTAAATGCTAATCTTTTTATCGGTTAATTCGTTCTGCAATTAACTTTACACGGATGGGCAGATGTTATCATGGAAAGTCGTTCACATAATTCGCCCAGAGCACACCACCTGACGTGTCAATGCACCCTATTTGTTACTACTGTTTTCTCTCCTGACGTTGTTACCATCCTTCCGTGTCGGCAGGCCCAACAGGAGATGAGAAACAACAAAAAATAAAAGCAAAGCCTACAACGTCACAGTTTATTTGAACAGCTTGCAACTTGATTGGACCTTAAGATTAGCTCATGATGACATCTTAATCTGCAGAAGTTTAACCTTGCTAATTTTCTGAGTCTAAGTCAAGATCATCAGAAGACCACACACGAGATGGCACATAAGACCATTCACGAGGGCGGTCACAAGTAACAGGATGAGGAATGACAAAGGAATGCTTTTGCTGAAGTTCACTGACATAACATGCAATTTGAATTCAGACTGGAAGTCATGGGCTGGTCTTGTGAAGGTCTTAAGAGCTCTTGACGACACTGCTTACTTTCCAGAGCGTGGTAGAGCAAGTCAAAGTCTTCTTTGCTGCGAGGGTTCATGCGTTTCTCAAACTCCCGCCGGATGCGATCCTCCTTCTCCTTGACCTTACGGATGGCCTCTTGCCTCTCCCACTCCAACCGCTTGGCCAGGTCCACCCGTAGCTTGGCCACGTGCCGTTTGGCCTGCCAGCGACGGAAGTAGGACTGCAGGATGATGACCTGTAGGCAGTAAGATAAAGAGACACAATTGAAATTGGAGCTTTTAGGAATTTTTGCAGATTCAGGATTGCGGTCATATGCGTCAAACATCATTACATAAATTACAAACCAAGAATGTCAACTAAGTTTTGTCCAATCTCACGATAGTTCAATTACACTGTTTGTCAAGACTTTCCTCCTCACAAGAAAAAGGCAACATCTCACCTTTTTCAGTCGGATGGCATGATACTCCTCGGCGGTCTGGTACCTACCGGGCACCACCAGCTTATCGGTCATGTTTGAGACATAGCACCCGATCATGGTCATCTGGGTGGCCGTGTTGATCATGGTTTGTTGGCGTATGTTCTTCTGCTTGACCGTCTGGGTGTCGCGACAGAACTTCTCAATGCCGTTATCCTTGCGTGTCTTGGGCCGGGTCTGGGCCGAGGCATTGTGGTATTCTGTCCCCGTGTTGCGATGGCGGAATCCACCTAGGAATGGCTTATGCCGCATGGAACGCTCGATCTCAACGACAATGTCTTCCTGCACACCATCTGTGAGAAAAATAATCAACTTCTAAAATGAGCTGCAAATATCTCAAAGGCAAATTCAAAACGTCAGAATCTCACCACAGTCATCAAAGGTTGTCCTATCCCTCTTAAAATGTGAAAAATTGACATAAATTTTTTAAAACCTGTACTAGACTAACAAACCAACCATCCGAGGTGAAAGTCAAGATTGGGTGCAATTTTATAGAGAAAACCTTGCAAGCATTCCGGAAAAGAAAAAAAATGAACTCTAACAAAATAGGATAAAGAAAAATCATAATGAAAAAAATATTGAGGGCTCTTTGTGTTTGTATGCATTTGTATTAAAATCTATTTTAGGAAATGATCAATTCTTCTATCTTCTTGACGCCTAAAGTTGTTGTAAAAACTAATTTAGAGATTTCGTTGTACATGAACTTGTACACACCTCTTTGAACTTTAACCGTAATGACGTCGGGCATGATGTATGAGGGCTTTGGTTTGAGGGCTTTCAGGGGATTATTCTCTGGGTCAGCCGACGAGATCTCCATCTGGACAGCACCATTCGGTCCAACGCCAAGATCATGAAGGGTCAATTCATCCTTGACATTTGACCCTAAAAATGGAAAAGAGGGGGTTTTGTCAGTTGGATATAAACAAAACCTTGTTTAGTATGTGCCAACAGAGGCAATGACTGTTGTGTGTACAGCCAACAAAATGCTATTTTCATGATTTTTTAATTCTTTAGAATGAATACATGTATTCCTTGCACATTTGGTTGAGATTTTGGGCACCAAATTTAACCCAAAAATCCTACCGATGCAACAACTGATGACATCAAGACTGCTTTACTTTTGTTTTGGGAATGAAGCAAAAACCAACCATTGAGTAATAGAGATTGACATATGTTTAGAGCAAATATGTACATTTTGGACACATACGTACCGTCATACATGAAGACCAGATGGTCCGCCAGCATGCGTAGCTCACTGGCAAAGTGAGCACGTAGCTGCTGCATAGTCTGACTCAGAGCGCACGCCATTGTAGTCACCTGCCCGCTAGGCATCAACACAAATTTCACTGGAAAAACACAGAACAAAAAGATAAGTGGATAAAGCACTGAAAACTGAATGTAACAACATCCTGAAAAACAAAACTTGGCTATTGGGCGCATTATTCCATGTGTCGGGGTTAATGGCTTCTGGCTAGCACCCCCCGAACAGAGATATTGACAAATGGGAAGAGCCACCAACATAGGGCTGGATAGCTCAGTTGGTAGAGCACTGGTACGGTATTCAAGAGGCCGCTGCTCCAGTCAATTTTTCTTGTTCATCTTTCTAATCATTCCTAAGCACCTAGTCAGTTTCCCTATACGATTTCTTTCACAAAACTAAGTTGCTAGACAAGCCTGATTACAGCAGTTAATGAATAGTTTGAAGGTTTTGACAAGTTACCTGTTGCCGTAGCATTGAGAGGATCGGGCATGGGTGAGGCAGCGTGAGGGTCAACTTCGTGTTGCTCATCTGTCTGCTCAGTCTCCATGCCAACCGTTTCCCGCTCCACTTGGGATGCGGTCCTCTCAGCATCTCTTGATTCATCTTGCCCTGGTTCTTGCTGCACATCAACCGCCTCCTCAAAAGCCTCCTGTGGTTTCTCCTTCTCCGAACTTGCTTCTTTACTTTCCTCCTGGGCTGAGACGACGGCTGTCTCTCCTGCGGTCTCACCCTCCTTATCCTCCTCCTGACCTTTGACCTCTTGGCTTTGCCTTTCGTCCTCTTGATCCTGTCCAGCCACTGCGACATCCTGATCTTGACCTGCTACCTCCTTATCGGTGGCCAGATCTTGTCCCTCTGTCTCAAGTTCTGCCCTGGAAGCTTCTTGGTCCTGGTCAGCAACAGCTTGGTCTTGACCCTTGACCTCTTCCTCCTCACCTCCAACCTCCTGTTCACCCATTGTCTCATTCTGTGTTGTTTCTTCCTCTGGTTGTTTCACCTCCTGTGGGGCTGGAGCTGGTTGTTCAGTGGATGCGGCATCTCCAATTTCAGGAGGTTTATCCTGACCAACTGGTTCACCTTCCTGTGCTGTCTCATTTTCTGCTGTTGTTTCTACGTCTGCAGCACTCCCTGGCTCTTGGGCTGCACTCTCTGTGACTTCACTGGGTTCGTCTGTTTGTTGTTCCTTATCCACCTCTGTCGGCTCTGTTGGTACCTGGCTGTTATCGTCTGCCATGATTGGTAAGCCACCAAGTTCCGTTTCTGGGTAGGTATGGACATGCAAAAATGAGCGAGGGCACTGCCACTGTTTATTGGGAACTCATTTTCTTAAATAGGAAATTGTGATTTAAATTTGTCTTTTCCATAGGCTCTAGCTCCTCTATTTAACATGTTTAATTTCAAATTTCAATTTCAAGCAAAGCCAGCATTTCATTCATTGAAATAAGGCACGAATAAGAACAAACATTTTAGGGAAATGTAGAAATGTAAATTTTAAGCTTTTTAGTCAAAATCCACACTCATTTTTGTGTACAAAAAATTATTTTGCTCTCCATTACAAGTACAAAAACATATCAAAATACCTCAAAATATCCCTGATTTAAATCAGTATTTCTTTGCTTTGCAGAGTCCGATGGAATTCAAACTTAGGCTATATAAAAATGTCTCTTAATATGACATCCTCTTCAAGATCACTTCAAAAAGTACAAAGAAAAAATAGTTGAAAAATATGTGAGCCTCTTTTCCCGAAAATCGATTTGAAATAGTTAAGGCCAAACACAAACTATTAGGCCTACTTCCAGAACTGGTGTACGCCTATGACGCTTTTACAAACTTTACACAGCTCTGGTGGTACAGTCGTTTCATCGTGTTCACTCTTATATGCCTACATGTACTTTTGTAAGAATGTTGGACATGTCGTACCCGAGACAATTCGTACCTGGGACAACTCGTAAATCAATTGAGAAAGAAAACGAAACATGGAAAAGCATTCCACGTAGGCCTAATTTCGCTCTCTTTTAATAATTAAACATTTGTCGCTCTAAAAAGAGCCACCTGTTTTGTGTAGGCCAATTAATTGCAGACATTTAATCAATCTCTTTGGGGAATATGCGGCTCTGAAAAGAGAAGTTTAGTTCATTCAGGACACAGGTCCGGTCAGGTACTTGAAGGCCACCAGAAACCTTGGTGCTCAAACGGCTGGATTACACCCCAAGGGTCAGCGAGAGCATACTCTCGCTAGAGGGGGAGTATACTCCTGTACCCGAGTGTAATGCGCACGCATCCTAGTCGTGTTAACAGGAGTAGGCTAACTGCACAAACGCACCCTCTATGTTTCGATCTCCCCAACCTCATTTAGCCTCAGCAGATCACATTTTTTCCAGGTGCGAAGTGTCCCAGGTACAACATGTCCTGGGTATGACATGCCCTGGGTATGAGATGTCTCGGGTACGAGTTGTCCCAGTTGTGAAATTTTGGGTACGAGATGTCCTGGACACGAGTTGTCTCGGGTAGGCCTAGTACGAGATGTCCCGATAGTAGGCCTAAATGTACTTGACTTGAGCATGTTGAGTTGCACCGGTCAATCTAACTTGGATTGGAATCGTAATTCAACGGATTTTCCCGATTGTGACTTCGTTAAAACATACCTGTCTGAAGGTTATGCCACTGAGAACACAACACAAAAACTTTTTCCCAGATGTTCCTTTGAGAAAATCACAAAATTGTTCACGTTAGTTAAGAGAAGACAGATCTTGTCCGCCAATGCAATGCACCACTAGCACTGCTGTGCTGCTGCATGCATTATTATGGTGACGTCACGTTGCTTAGCGCTCGCGTTATGATGATGACCTTCATTCTCTGGCCTTTGACCTCATTCACGGGAGTTACCGAACATAACTTGTGCCCTGTTCGGTAAAGTTCGGAATTCACCCTGGCGACGAGATAAATGATTGAAAAGTCGGGCTGAGCGAGTTGGAGAATTCAGATAGTTTGAAAATCTTTTCTTTTATTGCAGTTTCAGCCATGAATCGAAAGTAGTGCTACAGAATCTACAAGGGAGATCCCTTTACTTGATCACACGTAGAAAAGGTAAGTGACATCTCGCCAGTACAAATTTGTCGGTCATTGTGTAGTGGGTTTAAGTTCAGAATTTGGGGTTCATGGAAGTCGCCATTTTGTAAACAATCTTGTTTTGCCGAGGCCGATGTGATACGTGAACAACAATGAACTATTAATGTTACCCAAGTTTATCATCGGGCTTGTTCGTCCAAACATCAATGATACAGATGCTTGCCTTGCTTTATTACTTTTGTATATGCATGCTATAGTGTTAATGATGAATAGAATTAGCACATAGACAATGGCAGACTAGTCTGTCAGTGTCTGTCATTGCATGGATGATGGAGGTTTCCTACCTCCATGGTGTGTCAGAACTGAGGCCTCAGGGTGGACTACCATGTAGTATAAAGATTGCAAGATGAGAAGTTTTAGGTGTTGAAGGATTTCATTTCCCCCAAATAGGCCTAAGTACACGTACCTTCTGACCTTAAAGCTACCCAACAATGTGTACGTGTAATTTTACTGACTTAGGCTAGGCTATGTCCACAAGTCTGCATTTTCTTTAACGTAATGGTTTCCCATAGGATTTATAAAGTGCCTTTCCTTCGAGATCATGACGCTATTGTAACTTTATTTCTCACAAGAATAGTCTCTCTACTTAGAATTGATCGTATTTCATGTTGGACTGCTCCCATATGAGAATACTAACGTTAATAGTCCTAAATCTAAAGTACCCTTTTAAACTGTAAACATGTTATAACTGTACAAATGTATAAAGATTGTAAGATGAGAAGTTTTAGGTGTTGAAGTCACCCTGAAAGCATGTATGTAGCCTCTGCAAGACTATCTTGGCGAGGGCCTACTAGTAGGACCTAATAGTCATGTAAAATTACTTATCTTGTGGTTCTTGATGCCATTTTTTGCTAGCCAGTACTTTAGGATAACTCCCATTGTCCCATTCAGTAGTTTTTCCTATGAAAGAATAGACTGCATTTGTGTGTGGTCATCTTGAATCGAAAGTGAGGTTAACTTGATTTTTGGAACCTCACAGTAAAAGTAACAAAATCAGAGTTAATTTCAAATTAATGCCAGTTTTACATTTTGAATAATTCAAAATTTGTGATGAAATATATTTAAATGTGTTGAGTCACATTTAAGAAAAACAAATTAAAAGTGAGGATTGGAAGCCCAAACAGTCTGGCATCACCTAATTTAACAGATTACATTTAAAATTCAGGGAACACAATCACAATGGCTTCCTGGGAAAGGTCACTTTTTGTGTTTTGTACATGTACCTGTTGCCACCTCTTGGTTATAGAGGGCATCAAGAGGTAACTTTTGTAAGTTCTGTAGTTTGACAGTGTCCAGGTCTTTACAAAAGTGTTTCTGTATGTTGTCAACTGTACTGTTTTGGATACCAGCTTCAGAAGCCTAGTCATACAAATACATGTAATGCACGTATGTGCATTGGTAAGAGTGGTTTTGAGATGCTGAATGGGCCATTCCACTTGGCTTTGGTTTATCATAAAGCTCATGGAATTGGAACGTAAAGTCAATCCAGGAAATTATCTTTTGTGTTGCAAAAATCTGTTGAATCATTCATCAGTTTTTTATTTATCAATGCAAACCACCTGATGAATCAACTGTTCTGATGTATACATGTAACATTTACAAGTACGTACATGCAGACCCTTCGCCCTAATTCGTGATTTGTATTTCAGATGGCAGCTCGTGTCAATGGCCATCAAGCGGGATCCAGGGGAACCCAGAATGGCACCAAGCCCCTTGCCAATGGTGTGCCCCGCCTGCCCCCAATTAACACCCCAGCCAGTGTGCTGTCCTCCAGCAACAAAGACTACAGCCAGAGCAAGCTGATGAAGCACCGGCGAGCCAAAGAGATGCAAGGCCTGTTGACAGACATCCTGTACAAGAATGCTAAGGAGGTGGAGCTGGACATTGGAGACAGCAACCGAAAGAGGCCACCCACGGCGCAGAATCCATCTTACCCGACATCTGTAAGGAGACTTCCATTCCCTTCTCCTTGAGATTTCTCAATTTGTTTTTCAACTTTGGTTTTGCAACTGAGATTAGGGACTACTGGTAATTTCATAGGGTTTCTAAGCTTGTCACTTGTACGTGCTAAACCTGAAAAGGTCGGAACTAGTCACAACTCAAATATATAACATTGAACATGTGGTTTGGTGTAATATTTTCATGGCTTACCAAAGGTTTAGTGCTAAGTAGCTTTGCAAATTTTGCTTAATAGGCTGTTTATCAAAGCAGAATTTTGCCAAATGGTATTTTAAAATGTGCTTTGTGTTTCTGCATGTTTGCATGTTGGATATTTGTTCAGTGACCACATTTGTTGAATTTGTTGGTTTCTCAGTTTCTAATTACCTTCATTCCTATTATAAAAACGGATGATTTTTTTGGATTTGTGAAATGTTTTACGTTTTGCCAGTTTCAAGTTCTGTTGTCTAACATATGTTTTGTTCTTGCTGTTTTCCTCCCATCCCCACTTTTTGACATTATACCTTGATTTCAACCTCTGCCACTTTTTCTCAATTCTTCCAAATGCCAAACCCATCACTAACGCCAACTCAAATCCAACTCCTTTTCGTCTCAAACTTTCAACTTTGTACATCTCCCCTGTAATTCCCCATTTTGGTGTCAATTCCATCCCTCCCCCATTATTATCACTCACACTAACATACAGATGATGAGCAAGGATCGTATGCACAGGGTAAGTTGAAATAAAGGCTTCCCCATCTACAAGCTAGCCATCGCCCAGGTTTCATAGTGGAAAATGAAATGTATAATTTTTGAGAGAGCTAAGACACTCTGCGTTTACAGGAAAGAGCCATCTTTACCAAAATTGCAGTGATCTAAATTGATGCAATGATTACAAATTTGTTCGAAATAAATTTAAGGCTGTTATTGCAAGAAAACATTTGATGTGTTAACTTAACCTTACTGCACCCACATGCCCCCATTAAAAACACTTCCAAGAAACCATCACAAATCATCAGGTTAATTTGTGAAATTTGCAAACTTCCTCACTTATGTAAACAAGGCATTCCATGTTAATCGTTTATTTAGACTGTGTTTTGTGTTTGTTTGCTTTGTGTATATTAACAATGGCTGTTATGAACCTCTGTGCCCGCAGCAAAATTATCTTTTCATGAAGCAGTGCGTGGAGAGTAGTCCGGTGACCACCATGGAGCCGCACTGGTTCCAGGACATACTGAGTCTGATCCCAGACCACCTCACCCAGAATCCCAAGATGCAGGAGTTCATCGAGGAGCTCTTCCAAGAAGTGAAGGAGAATTGGACCAGTAGTATGAAGAAGTCTATGGGTATGCCGGTTCCTTTGTTGTTAGAGGGATGTGCTTGTTCCAAGTACCATTTGCATTTCATAAAGTTTCCTCAATGTTGGCTATGAAACACTCCAAAAAAATTTGATGGGTAATGACTGCAAATGCACCAAGCTGTATGCTAAGTTTTGAAACACAGTCACCACTAATTATCTCAGCATATTCTGTCTCCTGCTATTTATGCAGTAAAAGTCGTATTTTGTCGTTAATGATGGTCTAATTCTTGTGAACGGGATTGTGATTGACAGGATTACCACTCTTCTCGTTGGCATAAATGGATTAGAGCCTGTGCCATAACAACTTGAAAGATATTCTTAGAAGTTCCTTGACACTTTTTATTTCTCCAGTTCAACACGTGCTCATCAAACCAGACATCAAAGGCTTGGAAAATATCAACATTGGCGAACTGCCAGAGGAACCAGTGTGAGTCATCTCTTCCCAAATCCAGTCAACTGAATCCCTTTTTAGTCCTGCTGGTTTTCCGTCCCAATTTGTTCTTGAGTTTGTCTCCAATGGAAAAAGCCATTTTCATTCAAATTGTGTATTTCTTAGGATCCGTAGGTCTCTGTTGCATCGATAACAATTACCGTATTTTGAACAGTAACTGTGACATTGTGTCTGATTAGACTGTAACGACCAATCTCTGTTGACCTTTAAATAGTGCATGTGCCTTGCACCAAGTTGGAATTTTACCTACCACCTTGACTCTTCTTTTTCAGCAAGGAGGTGCTAGTTATAATATAGACCCTATTACAAGGCTTCCCTTTATTAGAGAAGTTCAGAAAACCATCAAGGAATGGTCATTTTGTACAGCAGCTTGCACACTACTTCTGATTGGTCTACATAAGTACAGTGTGCGGATTTGTGATTTACATGAAGGAGCCATGACGTAATCTTTTTATTGTAAAGACAAGTGTTTTATTGATATTTCAGAGGGCTGGACTACTCCAGACCATGGCATGAGAGCTTTGTGGAAGCTCGGGAGCTCATGACCAGGTCCTTGCACATCACACATCCGTCCATGCAGACGGTGCTACGACTTTGCCAGAACAGCCTGGGCCGACTGATCTTGGTGGACCTCAGCAACCTGAGGTCCCAAGGACCAGTGGAATGCGAACACCTCAAGGTAATGTCATATCTGAAGTAAGCTTTACTGAAAATCTTCCTTTGAATATGGGTCAGCTCTTTTTTGAAAACCAGTTATACAAAGATGCATATTATCAAGGTTTGGTGGAATCCAGATGCTGTTGTGCTTGATTGTTTTGTCGATGATTCTGCCAGCATCCAAACATCAGACCATCTGATGTTTATGTACATTTCAGGTTGCTTTAGTCCGCAAGCAGTTTGCAGAGGTCTTTTTTTACATATCTGAGTACCAGTAAGATAAAGTATTCTAATGTTTGATCTCCTTCACATACTTTAGACAGGATGTATCCTTCAAAGTGGGTGATATTGCATGTTTCACCTACGTTTGACGTCTCATACAGACCCTCCCTTAAAACAGTGTTTGCTTCCTTTTTTTGAGCTTCTCTTACGACTGTTATTTCTTCCCAACAGAATAACGTCATCTTAGAGTGTGAGAAGATGGAGGAGAAGCAGATGCACAGTTGGTGGCCAGAGGTCCTCAACGTCTTCGTTGACAGGAAGAACTTTGCCGACGTCCACCCAGAGGAACTAGAGTCGTTCTACAACTGCACATCCACTCTCATATCAAACCAGGTCTGTACTCACCCACAAGGCTGTTAACCTGCAGCAACCCCTTCTCCTCGGAAAAAAAAAATTGGGTTTTTAGTCATTGATCAACATGCCAGAGTGTGCATCTTTTACCTTTACCAAAGAGGGCCTGTACTCGATGGAAGGAAAGTATTCGCCTCCTGGTCAGTCCATTGTTCAATTCTGTTCTTGGTGATAAGTGCCTGTGCTTAGTCTGTAAGGGAAAAATGAGAAACAGTGTCTTGTCATCTGTGATCTAGTTGTTTACACTTAACCCCAATCACCCCAACTCCATCAAAATCCATACCACTGATTTATGTGGTTTTGATGGACTAGGTTGAGGTCTAAGGTGACCACTTTTTGATAGGGTATGATGGACTTAGTCCAGGAGGCCTGAAGCAGTCCTGAGGCATTCGGTGCATTTTGGCTGACATCAAGGAAATCCATCAACACAGATCTTTGCTTCAGTGGTGGACTTTACCACAAGCAATGTGGATTGCACAGGCAGTGTTGAATTTGGATGGAATTTGTCCAGTGCCTAGTAAAAGACACAAGGGAATTTTAAAGAGCTTGCTCCATAAAACAACAATGATTGTATTGTCATTTATGATGGCAGACTGTGAAATGTGAGCAGTTTATAGAATAGTCCAGGCTAAAATAGCAACACACTCATGATGTATCATTATCCCCCACCCCACTCATCGGATAGTTGAAAGATCTCATAGTCCGGTCCATCGATGCCTGGGTGGACCTCTTTGACCCAGCCGACAAGTCCCGCCTCCCCATCTTCAAGATGGAGCTGACCTACGACAACGACAAGATGGAGTTCTACCCCTACTACTCGGACCTGGAGGACTGCCTTTTGTTTGTGATCGGCCAGCTGACCAAGACCATGCAGGGTGTGCCCACCGTCCAATCCTGGCTCTCCGGCACTAACGATCTCAGCAACATTGACGTGGCCATTGCCGATCACATCGTGGCCGAAGCCAAGAGGAAACTGAAAGAGGCCTGTAAGCTGAACTTTGAGGGGCCGACAGAGCATCTTCAGTCCTACTGTGAGTTTCACAAAACAGGCTTCTGTCCTATTCATATAAAGAAATCATTAGGAAACCTTATGAATTAGATTAGCCCAGGAGAAAGTCTGGTCCATGACAGGGTTCCTTCAAGTCACCATATAACCTATCAACAAGTTTTAAATGAGGTGCCATCAAAATTCCTCCTTAGATGTTTTTACATTTTGCAAAGTATTCCCTGTAAGCTGAGAGTTTTAAAAGATGTTACTGCAGAATCAGTACTGAAAAAAGAAATGGTTTTTGTTTTCTCTTTTTTGTTTCAGTGGACAGATATGAGTACTTATGCAATGGTGAGGCACTGAGTAAAGTCCAAGCTTTCATGGCCGAAGACCACACATTTGATGAGTACTGCAAGGTAAAACGGATATCAATGGATCAGTCAGGAGCTGGGAATTAAAGAATAAAATTGGTCGACTCTCCAATTTGAACTTGTATCATAGAATGTGGAAGACAACAGCAATGAGAAGGATGGGAATGTTCTTCCTGTATGCGCTGTGAACAATTTTCATCAAAGAGTATTCAATCTTGTGAGTCACATGATGAGTTACTCGTCTTGCTATGCATGGGTCATCTTTAATTCTCAGCATCCCGTGAGCATAATTTTGAATAGGTTTGGTTTAAATGCTGGTTTAGTGGATTCCAAGTGATTTTGAAATTTGAGTAAGAATGAAGGAAATTCATTGCATTATGGGTGTGAAATAGAAGAATGCCCACTTGTTGTTCTTTGTAGTTGATTGAGGAGTTCCGCAGCAAAGCCAGGGAGATTATCCTCCAGGATAGCATTGTACACTTTGACATGGTGCGTCTTGACTGTGAGGATCTCAAACGTGGACTAGCTGAAAAGTCCAGGAGCTTTGCTGACATGCTGCTGGACAGAATGGCCTCTGACCACAGGAAGGAAAACGAAAGGTTAGCGGTTAAGACCTGCAATTGGATACGTGCTCAGTAGCCGGAGAGTTTATGGTGAAATTGCCTAGATGAGATATGTGGGGATTTTGCTCGTGCACTGCTTTGGTATAGGTTTGGTTTAAATGCTGGTTTAGTGGATTTCAACTTCACTAGCCAATGCTGGCAGGCATTCCAAATCACTGCCTGGCACTTGGGGTGCAAATGAAGTGAGCTAGCCCACTCAGATTTTGGCATTATGTGGTCAGTGTGAACTTGAAAGGACTCAGAAAATATTTAGAATTCTTTCTTTCTGTTTCTTCCTGTTTAATAAAAAAAAATCAGTAAAAATCTGTCATATACATATGTGCGGCAGTTGGCCTGCAGGTAGGCACTGTTTATATTTGCAGCTGGTAGTACACCGTCTAGCCCTGAAACAGTCGGTGCTACAATTTCTCCAGCTACAACCCCGATTACTTATTTCATAAAAACTGATATCGTTCTTTTCTACAACAGCATTTGCAATGAGTTTGAGACCATCAAGGAACGGGCCCTCAAGGTCCCGGAGGACTCGGGCGAGATGATGGACATGATTGCCTACATCGAGAAGGCACGCGTCGAGGGCATCAAGGCGCTGAACGAGCGCATCGGCGTCAGCAAGCAGAGGATGAACTACCTCCTGGATGTCTATTTCTTCAGTCAGGAGCACATCGATCTCAATTGCACAGTCCTGCTCTGGCCCAAGAACATCCAGCCTGTGTTTGACGAGAACGACGAGGTGGGTGGAGAGTTGAATCAATTTTCCATCACATCTTGTGTGTGTACATGTGTAGCTCATTATTTCAAAGCGCTGCTCTTGGAATAAACCTCTTAAAAATTATTTGTAATTATAGAATTGCCTCAAGCAAGTGTTGTACCAGAGTATTCAATGTGCTTCCTCTGTTCCCTTGGTTTTACCCAATGTTACTGCAGTAACATGTGTGACTAACATCAGGAGGCACTGTAATCACTGATGGGTGAAGTGAGTAACGTGCCTCGTGTCTGGTTGGTCCTCTGTCCACTAAATACTATGTGAAGCGGGAGAGTTGGTACTTCATTCTAAGTACCAGTATTCCAAATAATGTATTGGTTTGTTCTCACTGACTGTCAAAGGAGAAAAGTTTGTCCTCACAAACACATTATCTTGTGTACTCAGAATCATCCTTTTGGGGGTTTTGTCCAATCTTGTAGCTTGTGGAAGCCTCAAAGAGGAAGGGTGAGCGTGAGTTACTGGAGAAACGAGAGAAGGTCATGGTGGAGCTGGAGAAGATCCGCAAGCGGGCGGCTGAGTTTGCAGAGTACGGCGAGCTGGACATGATGGTGCAGTACGTCAACGATGTGCGGGCCGTGCAGAAGCGCATCGCCGAGGCAACAGAGACCATTGGCTTCATCAATAAGGTTAGTGTGGTTTGTCAAAGCACAGGGATTCGGTCAATGTCATCTCCTGACAAAACTTTCACTGGTACTTGGCAAGATGATCAAACTTTGTTGTTTGGAGCACTCCATATCCATACAAAAACATGGGAAGTTTTCAGCAGTTCACATGCGCCAGGCAAAATTCCACTGTGGAAAAGATAATGGAGTACATTTCAAACATTTCATATAGTATCCATTTCCTCTCAATAAAGTGAAATATGAAATACAATACTTTACATGGAATTTCTTCATTTAGTAAACTTGTGCTAAAAATTCCTGTGCATAACTCAGACGTTTCGTACTAAACTGAAACTCGGAAGAGAAGAAAATCAATTTGAGTTCTCAAGCTTTGAGTTACAACTGTGCCAGACAATTTCTCAATTTTGTACCTGATGGTTTATCTGGGATTCCCTGATGAATATGCGCTGTCTGCAGTTGCTATGGTTACATTTCTTAATTGTTTTATAGGAGGAGAAGCTTTTCAAATGGGACGCCACCACATACCCAGAGGTTGAAGAAATCACAGTGGCCATTGAGCCATACATGAAGCTCTTCAGTCTGGTGGTCAAATGGCAGAGAGCCGAGAAAAAGTGAGTCCTGAAGCTCCATGCAGGAGTTTTCATGAGTACCAGTAGGGACAGAGAGGGCTATTGCAGTATATCAACCAGGTAGTTTCTGCAATGGCGGCACCGATAGTTGTTTACTCCCAAAGGAGCTGAGATCATTCATAGGAATGGTTCAGTAAAACTGAGGCAGTTATTTTGAGCCTCCTGCTGACGCATTGTGGTTTAACTTCAGGGAAAGTTACAGGGATTGACCGTTGTCCTGTGATCTGTGGTAACAGATGGATGGATGGTGCCTTCATGGAGCTGGACTCTGAATCCATCGGCAACGAGGCGGACGAGTACTGGAGAGACATCTACAAGATTACCAAGACCTTCCTCGCCCAGAAGAAGAAACGGGATGCCGAGAAAGCCAAGGCAGCCCCGCCCAAGAAGAAGAGGATCGGTGCGGAGGAAGGGGAGGAGCCAGCTGAGAAGAAGGAGGAGGAAGAGGAGGGCGGGGCTGGCCTCAAGGTGTGCAACACAGTGCAGGCACAGATCAAGGAATTTCAGGTAACTGATTGAACTGTTGGAACCAAATGAAGATACTACAAACGTTAACTTCAAATTGGACAGTCAAGTGTGTCTCTAACAGAACTTGTCATTTAATCGAACCCTATAATGTGACGCTAGGTGTGAAGCCTGAATTAGATATGGAGATTACTCTCACTTTGCAAAATCTCCTTTACACTTCTTCATGGTCGCAAATTGCACTGAGGATGGGTGATATATTTTCGTTGGAATGTGCACAAACCGTTATGGCATATTCAGTAGCATACCCATGTGTTGGCGCATGACATAGATACCCTTAGGGTGTCCACTGTAGCAAGGTGTAAAAAAAAATGAATTGCTTATGAATAAAAACAACATATTCATTAGGTCTAAAATTCAGTTTCCCCTTTCATAGTATATGCCAAGGGTCAATGTTTGTTTCTGTTTCATTATAGAGATTATACTGTGTTATCTTTAGAATGCAAAACGCACTTGAGCCATTTTGTTTTGGGGTGTCCTGGGCACAAAAGGAATTAGTGACCAAGAAAAAAAGAAGGCAAAATAATTGTGCTGATCTTTTCTGATTGACATGGTGAATAAATCTTTTGTCATTGTCCACAGGAATACATCCCCACCATAGCCATTATGTGCAACCCAGGCATCCGGACCCGTCACTGGAGCCAGATGTCAGACATCGCTGGCTTTGACCTGACGCCTGACTCGGGAACAACCCTACGTAAAGTGCTCAAGCTGAACCTAGATCCGTATATGGAGAAGTTTGACTCCATCAGTGCAGCAGCCTCCAAGGTACAAAGCCTTTTCCGTAGAAATTTTCACCATCTCCTATAGAGTACCCAAGTGTGACGTCACTGTGAACCAGAAAGTGCAGCACAAACGAATGGAGTAGGCACGCGTGTTGGTTCACGCGCTGGTCCTCGCGCTAATGCCTTTTACACACTAATTGTGTGTGTGACGTATTCACTTCAGTACTCTATGCTATGTTCTGCTTTAACTGTAGTGGCCGGGAGGACATAGAAGGGGGGTCTTATAAAGACTATAACTGATGATCACAAGCTGTTTTCATCTTGGTACATGGGGTGAACTCCGGAAAGGGGATATTCCAAGTAGATTGTGTCAATTTTTTTTTTTTTTAGTTTTTTGGACACATCTGTAACTGACTGCATTAGACGCTAACACTAAACTCATCCCCTGCTCTGCCTTAAACACGGGCAACAAATACCTAGAGAACAAATTCCCATAACCTTGAGAAGTTGTTGTTTAAATAGCCTCCATCTTCGAGGCCAGTGACTGCTCTGGACTGGCTTTCTCTTTCTCAAAAAAGCGATTTCCAAAGGCCACAATAATTTTGAAACTGCTTTGAATTCCCCAGGAATACTCCCTGGAGAAGGCCATGAATAAGATGGTGGAAGAATGGGACCAGGTCCAGTTCAATCTGACCACGTACCGAGACACAGGTGTCAAGATCCTGGCCTCCGTGGATGACATACAGACCATGCTGGATGACCAGATTGTCAAGACTCAGACCATGCGTGGCTCGCCGTTCATCAAGCCATTCGATAAAGAAATCAGGGTAAGTTTAGAAAGAGCTGACATTTTGGGCTGAGTGTATACAATATGTTGCATTTATGAGGAATTTAGTGAGCTATAACATGTTTAAGTCCTGTTGATCTGGGGAAAAGGTTACAGTCTCATAGAGATGGGATCTTTAGGATATTTCTTGCCTGGCTGCAAACTTGAAACTGAGGCTGCATTATGATGTGCATTGTGGTCTGTGCTTTCTGACAGCTAGTTTGACAATCTTCATAACTTGTTTGGAATCAGTCTGAAACACACAACCCTGTGCCCAGTTGTGCAGAAGTCATGGGTTCCAATCTTGTCGTAGCCATCTTGTAAAAGCTTCATCAAGTTCCGTCTCTCAGAAAGGATATGGACAAGAAGTGCTTTTTCACAAATATTAGTAGAGTAAAACCTGATACTAACTTTTACACCCCAGCTGCAAAGAGGAGCTCATAAAAGCTCATAACAGATTGTATTTTATCGAAGTCTTCTCCATCATTTGCATTGCAGGAATGGGAAGAGAAGCTTCTACGTGTCCAGGAGACCATCGACGAGTGGCTGAAGGTGCAATCACAGTGGCTGTACCTGGAGCCCATCTTCAGCTCGGAGGACATCATGCAACAGATGCCTGAGGAAGGCCGGCTGTTCCAGATCGTAGATCGTAACTGGAAGGACATCATGAAGCACACTGTCAAGGATCCTAAGGTATGGCTTCTTGATCGCTGGGAGGGGAGGGAATGGGGTCAGAGGCCGTTCACTTGGAAGAGGACAGAGGTTAGGTCAGGGCCACAATGCCAAGATTGATGCGTGATACAGTGCGTGAAGAATTTCTGTTATTTGATTGGAAAGTCGTTCATCGTATGTCATTGAATGATTCGTCTGAAGTGCGCGACAGGGCTGACTGCAAAAACAGCCNAAAAGTTCTGTTCCACTGGTGAATGGATGGTCTGTTGCAAGGTCCCAAGAAATTTCTGCAGACGCGATGCAGGGATGTGTTCCAGCAAGGATTTGTTTAGCAATTATCTTGAAATGTAGTGAGTTGTTCAGGAATTATTCAGGCATTGTGTAAAACAAATATGTAACAAGTCACCTTTGTGCCATGGAAGGAATAGTTTGAGGTGACTTTTCCATTTTTGTCTCCCTGAATGGAACATTCCGTTAGTCGTCTTGTGAAGTCATCGTCAGCACTGCTTTTAAAAGCATTTAAAATTTGCAATGTGACACCCAAAATGGTCTGAAGTCATGCAGGTTTGGATTTGCAGGAAAAGGTACTGGGATTGGCCAACAGTTAGCATTTACTTCGAAAATCCACTGGCTGAACATCTAGTCATAATAGTTTTGATCCAGGTTTGTTTTTGGGGGGGAAGCGGGGGCCTTTCTTTGTGCTAGTATCCTGACAGACCAGGGATGAATTTGGTAGATGGGATGGGGTATTGAGAGAAGATTTCCATGAGGAATGGTCTACCTGTTGCAGGTTCTGGCAGCTACCTCATTGACTGGCATCTTAGAAAAGCTAATTGACAGCAACAAGAATCTGGACAACATCCTGAAGGGTCTGAACGCCTACTTGGAGAAGAAAAGGCTCTTTTTCCCAAGGTAAGTTGCTCTCCCTCAAAGATCTCCTCTTTCGCAGTTCAGCCGATGCGCCAAGGTTCTAAACACTTCGCATTTGTGTAAGAGAATGGAACGGTCTTTCCAGGGTATTACCTTGGGTTGTCATACCTCTGTGAGAACACAACTCCTTTGTCATCCCTTTGTTTGCTTGTGTGTGTGTTTGTTTTGAGTTATTTTCATTTAATTTCATTTATCACAAGGAAAATCAGGGAATAACATTATGCACTTTTTCAAATATTAGCAAAGCAGATACTATTGAGCAAGCAAGCAAAATATTGAATTAAGTCTAGACAGTACAATTGACAAAATCAGGATGAAAAGGACAATAAAATAGCCTGTGGTGGCACCTCTTAGGGAATGCCAACACCGACAGGGAAATTTTGTTCCATCCATATTTGCAACAAGTTTGCAGGAACATTAACCACATGCTGCCGGGTGCTTTTAAAAATGCAGTGCACACATATGGGCGATTTTCAAGATTTTTATTTTTCAAAATTCTTCAAAAATTCATCATTTCATTTAATGGACGTTTATACCCACATGAGTGACTGTTTGACTCCTGAATCATGTATTTCAGCTAGGCCTGACGCCTTTTAAAGAGAGCCGAGAATTGTGAGGTGTTGCGTAATTTCCTTTATCCCCAGTGAATCCGAGTGGCGTCTTTTCAAACACGTCTGAATTAGCATGTAGCAGTACTGTGTCGCTCATCAATGGGGCCCTGGAGCACTTTTGTCCGTGGTGCTGATCTGTGGGCACGCTATGCCCAAAACAGTGGTATACTGTTTGAAAACAGTGCTGGATTACCTTCGAAAAATGCAAGCCGAAAAATGATGGCAATTCCCAGCAGCAGGTCTTTTGTTCCGAGTACGGTCTTTTGTTACACGGACCAGCTCTTTTGACTCATTTTGGGCACCCTGACTCTGTGTATAAACCCATGGTGCTCGTTATGGGGTTCCCTGGCAGCAAGTGGTTAAGTGCTTTACTGTTTCATTCAAAACTACAGCCTGCTTGCTTATTCATAGGTTCAAATATTTAAATAAGTGTTGAAACTTTATAGAGTTTTGTAACCATTACAGACACAATGTTGACAACTACACGAGGGGCCCTCTTGGCTGTGTTTTGTGTCATATTTCAGTTCAAAAGGTGTAGAATACTGACTCAGGTTACTGAATGCTGATTCTGAAGTGATTACTTCATTAGTTTGGTTCTTGATTATTCATTTAAATATGTGCCAAGTTAATTGAAAATGAAAATGCACATGTACAGGTTTTTGCAACCTTTTAACAAATTTAACTTATATTAATTATTAATATTATGTACATGTATTACTAGCTAGGTTCACATTTGAATGGCTTTTTTGATTTAACATTATTGAAAGGATACATGAAAGTGTATCTACAGTTCACCGTCAAAGTCTTGCATAGTCTTTGCTGAATCTCGCAATCTGACTTCATCACTGCAAGAGTTCCTTCTTTACAAGTTTTGGCTGTAGAATCACGGCTGTCATTGGCTCAGAATTCAAGGATCGGTGAACCCATTTTTTTGGTACAGTATTTACTTCAACTTGTCAACAACATGAGAACAAAGCGTGCAGTGCCTGTCGAAGCTCCCTGTTTCTCCAGTAATAAATCACCACATTCAGCCAGTTGTTGGCATACACAATGCATTGTGTGACGTTGTACACACCGCTGTGTGGTTGAACAACTCCCTGCGATAGCAGCAACAACAACATTACATGTGGTGTCCAGCAGATGCACAGGGCACCGGCAATAATGAAGACGGTCGTAGCCGACTTGGTGCTGATTCGTCTTTTGGCATTTGGCACGAGGTGTGTGTCGCCGATGGTGATTTGAGCCGCAATGCGTCTTGCTTGACGTCGAGCATTTTTCAGAATGCTGGCGTACAACATCAGGATGACCATGAGGGGAATCACCAACAGACCGA